GTGTTTATCTTGCTTTAATAGCATTCATAAAAAATAATCTATTTTTCTGAAACTTGATTGTTTTTTTAATAACTACGAAAAAATCTTTTATTTTCTTAAAACTTTATGTTTTTTTTTTGTTTAGTAACTAAGGACATAAATATTATTTAGTTTACATGTTTTTTTTTGTTTTCAAATATCATTTACACTAATAAAATATTAGGAAGTTTTGATCTTTTAATCTAAATCTATAAAAATAGTAAGCTGTCTTGATACTTTAAAATATTCTTAACAGGAAACATGACAATGGTAAGTTTTAAAATATTTTTACTGTTAATAACTGATCTTAAAACTCGTATCATTTAGATTATAAAACTGTAAAAATGTAAAAATTAATTACGTCACTACCGGTCCTCGACGGTTGGTAACGCACCGTGTTCGCGTCAAGCCACCGGTCCCGGGGGACCGGTAACGCACTTTTCTTTGGTTGACATATTTTGGGAACGCATTCAACCTGTTAATAGAGTGAAATAAATTTCACCATAAATTTTAACCTAATATAATTACTGATTGATAGAGTACAGTAAAATTGTAAAATTAGATCTTTCATCACCTTAAATTTTAACATAAGAATTGTTAAATTTGCACATGGGTTAGTTGAGGGTGAAAAATGATAGGGGTTAATACATTTGTAAAAATCCAGAAGAACAAAGTGGTATTTCAAAAATAATTTTCATTAATTTCGCTGACTCAAATATTTCCTAATAACCTAAGTTTAGTAAAAATTTAAACATTTTTTTATTTCAGTTATAAGTAGAGGAGAGTGAGTTTGAAAAAATTATTTCCTGTTAAATTTTAATCTAACAGAATTATTGACTTTTTCATAAGGGGTGGTTAATGGGTAAAAAATTACTAAGGTGTTTTTTTTTAGTAAAAACCAAAAGATAAACTTTGCGAACCGACCACAATTTGACAACGAAAAAGGTAGGTTATACTTTTGTTGACAGGTCAACTATTGCAAAAAAATATTAATTTAACTATCATGACTAAATAACGAAAAATTTTCAAATCAGTTTTTCTGGAGAACGGCTTAACATAGAGTAAGAGTAGCTTTTAGTACTAGATTGCCTGAAAATTTATTAATCTAGTACAACGAATGCTTAAAAGTTAAAGACAAAAAAGATATGCATTAAAATAACCGTTGGCCTACCCAAAACGGACACCTATGATTGGTACTAGAAAGGTATTTAACAAAAGACTAATTACAAGGCGCCATCTTTAAAAAGCTCTAGCTCGCTTAGGAAACATTTTTGCATTAGGTGAATTGGGTTAAATTATCTTCAAATTATCTGAGGAATCTTCAGTCTCCATTTGTCAGGAGAGTTTTTTAGAACCCTGTATATGTTACATTGGGAGTAACAGCAGTTTTTCATGGTATTTAATGGCAATTTAGACCACAATCCACCTGTAGTTATGAAAATTGTATTTAAAAAAATCAAAAAGCCTAATTTAAAACTAAAAATGACATGGCGCTCTTTTAAACATAGCCAATAGAAATAATAAAGAGAACAGACAATGAGGATAGCAAAAAAGAAAAACATCGAAAGAATCACCTTTTGATAGATTATTTCTTTTGAGATAAGCAAAAAAGGACAGTTGTTCTTGTGCACAACCTGCCATCATGCCTTTTTGTAGGTTCTTCTTTTTTTTATGTAGACATGACTCTGTCTTTTGTATTTTGAAATTACATGTTTGAAAATATAAAAAAAATGAAAATACAAATAGATGCGAAAACCAAAGACATTAACTGGCAGATAAAGGAATAAATGTTAATAAAAAGCCTAAAAAAATAAAGCTAAAAAATAATTCGTCTCCTGGTCTCGACTTAATATCTTCTTTATTTTTAAAGAAATGTTCTGATGCTTTAGCTTATCCACTATATGTGATTATGTCCCTATCATTCACCACACATTATTTTGCCTCCTATATGGAAAACCGCATCTGTAACACCGATCTTTAAAAAAGGGAACAAACTGGATCCTAATAACTATCGTCCTATCAGCTTAACACCTATAATATCTAAGATAATGGAAACTATTATTGCCGAGACAATTTCTGATTTTCTGCAAAATGAACTGGTTATACCAGAACAGCAGCATGGTTTTGTCAAAGGACGTTCTACAATGACAAATCTTCTCTGGTGTGTCAATGAATGGTCAAGAGCATTAGACAGAAAAGCCCGGTGGACATTATATACCTCGATTTTGCTAAAGCTTTCGATAGAGTTCCAAAACGAAGACTATTACATAAATTGGAACACCTTGGTATCCATGGTCAACTACTGAAATATATCGACGCGTATTTAACAGATAGAAAATTTTGTGTTAGAGTTGGGGACTCTTTCTCAGTTGAGAGAACGGTTTTAAGTGGGGTACCGCAAGGATCAGTTTTGGGCCCACTCTTATTCATAGCATACTCAAGTGATCTACAATTTCATATTAAATGCAACAATGCTTTCTATGCAGATGACACGAAGCTATTTTCCGATCCCTCCGTAAATTTCCAGTTACTACAAGATGACCTTGATTGCATATCGGAATGGTGCTCTACCTGGATGCTGCCTCTTAATGTGGAAAAATGTGTAGTTCTTCACATGGGTAAAAATAATCCGTGTCTTCCTTACTCTATTAATGGGCGCGTGTTAAAAACAGTGAAATCGCATAATGATCTAGGCGTTATAATTAATAACAATCTAAGTTGGTCGGAACACATTTTGCATATTTCTAAAAAAGCTAACAGTAAATTATATCTACTAAATAAAACGTTTGCGAAAATGTCATTTATGAGCTCAATTCATCTGTATAAACTGTACATTTGTCCAGTTCTGGAATATTGCGGAACTGTTTGGTGTCCAGTATTAGTGCGCGATCGTAATATTCTCGAAAACGTACAGCGGCAGTGCACCAGGATGTCTTTTGGTCGCTCAAGACCTACGTATACAGAAAGACTGAATATGGCCAATCTCACTACATTTGAACAACGTCGACTTCGAGGCGATTTAATTATTACGTTTCGGATAGTAAAATACAACTTTGGAAATTTGGGGAATATGTTCATAATAGACAATGACAATCGTCTTCGTGGCCACAAACTTAAGTTTAAAAAGGAAACTTTTTTAACAACAACCAGACAATTTTTTCTCTGTAATCGAGTGTTCTCGATATGGAATAGCCTTCCGGCTGAGATCATAGATGCTCATATGTCAATATTTTCAAAAATAACTGGATGACCTTTTGTTCCATAGTTGAACATTTAATTTGTACTAAACACTTGCTATTACCTATGTTATTGTAAATTAATTTAGTTAGTTAGTGCTTAATATGTAACTACTGTAATGTAACAATTTAATTGTACACTATATAACATTGTAGTCACATGGGCATATGGGTTTTGCAACCCTGCTCAAATCTATTGTAATAATAATAATAATAATAATGGGAGAAAACTGAATAATTTGAGATACGCTGATGACATTGTAATTTTCAGTAATGACAGTTAGCCCTAGACTCCAGCACAGATCAGAAGTAATGTAAGTCGATAAAACCTCACCAGCTACAGGGGGTCATGTAAGATGCCCCCATTTTCAGATTTTATTAATCAACAAGTTAACAGTCTATTGCATTTACCTTTATAAATAGCATGAGGATTGTTTTTTAATACGGATGTCCTTCCAATGTTTTTATGTGGCCATACAATGTTTTTAACAACTTTTTATTAAACTAATAATGGAATGATTCAATTCCGAAAAAATCTTCTTTAAAATAAAAATTTTAAGCTTCTAATAAGCATTTTTCATACCTTAATACACACGAACACCACGTGTGTGTAGCGTGGGTAGGATTTGGAAAACTGAGTTAAATCTTGAAAAGCACTAAAATAGAACAATATTTGAAAACCAGAATTTACGATCAGTGTATCCTCCCTATACTCACGTATGGTTTACAGACGATGACACTCACCAAGTCTAATATGGATAAAGTAGTAAAGGCACAAAGAGCGATAGAAAGATCAATGTTCGGGGCGAGACTTATAGGATAAAAGATAAAATAACGAAATACAACAATGGAGACCATGGTTAGGAAAGAGAAGCAGAGAAAAAACACAAAAAGGATGGGCTTATGCCATTAAGAAGATCAAGAGAGAGAGAGAGAAATAGAGAGAGAGACTCTGTCTGTTTTTTAATGTGCCCCAAGTAAGTTGTTCCATCGTTTTCGTGGTCTTCCTACTGATCGATTACCGAGTTACTGATACGAGTTTTTACTATATATATATATATATATATATATATATAATATATATATATATATATATATATTATATATATATATTTGTTGTCATTCGGCTAATATAATCATTCCATTCTACTATTCTACTTTTTGCAGATTCTTTATCGCAAAAATAAACAAACTTTTAAGTGAGATATAAGAGAAAAATATGGATATTCACCTAATAAACGGCCATATTTAATAAATTTTTGGGTTATATTTAACACCCTTAGGCCACCAGTACCCCATATGCCAAAAATTTGAAAAAGAAAATTTATACTCATCTATCGATTCGTAAAATGACATAAGGAAGAAAATGTTTTACAAAAGAAGATTTTCTTTACAAAGAAAATTCAATTTTTACGCAAATTTTCAAAGGAAACCCACAGTTTTCACATATATTACTTTTATCCTTGTTATTATCTTTCAGTATCTTCAAGATAAACTCGTTGGTGAACTTAGTCGGAAATACGAAGATCTACTAATCATTACATTAAAAACTATTACCTCGATATAACAACAAAAATACCAAAAAAAATTCTTAAGCTGGATACGCCACTGATGGATTTTATCAACGAATGTCAAAAATTAAATCAGGGTTGGACAGATTTTATAATAAATCACAGGATGTTTATATTACGTTGAATTATAATAAAAACAACAAAGTGTGAAGTAGTCATAGTGTTTAATGGTACAATGATAAAAACAATCTCTCAAGGTGTTTTTACAAAACATGCTCTCAAAATTATCAGCGGGTCTAACCAAAATCGAAGTCTTACAAACCAAACAAAAAGGTATGTATTACTAGTTACAATATTAAAGGGGTCTTACTATTTCATATAGACAATGGACCACCAAATATCAAAAAACCACGGAGTGCTTCCATTAAAAGTGTTGCGTTTTCAGAGAATTTCCCTATCCCCATTTATCCCCATGCACTAGAGTACATTTGGTTAAATTATATGCAGTTTTTGTACATATACATCTATCAAAATGTCACCTTTGAGAGTTAAAAATAATGTTTTTTTTTGTCTTATAACTTTTTTCTATACGCAGATATAGATATAGAAATTACTGCACAGAAAAAAAACTTTTCTTTTCTTCCTTTCACAGTATCCAAGATTTTTTGCAAAAATTGTTCTATAGGTGGTTCCACGAATATACGACTGTTTTGGTTTACTGCGACAACGAATATTTTACTGTGCAAGTAGAAGTATGAAGGTAAATTGGTCCAATCATTATTCCAATAAAAAGAGTCTACTAGTATATCTAAACTAAAATTATTTCAGTTAAAATCTACAAATAAATACAATGACGTCTATGAAGCTAAATGTGTTCATCAGACATTTGAGTAAGCTTTCCCTGAAATGTAAACACCAAAGAAGCGTGCCGGGTTTCTTTGATATTAGACTATTTTATTACTTTATTAGTTATTAAAACTGTAATAAAAAGAAATATACTATGTTTAATATAAATGAAAAGAAATTGGCAGAACGATGGTTCAGAAACCAGAAAAAGGATCTAATATTTCACTTTCTTAGTTTTAAATATTTGTTTGCTTTGAGTTTATGTACTCTTAAAAGTTCCTAAAGTAACGGGTATAACATGCCGGCTATTGATAGTTAAAGTACCGAGTTGTTACAGATATTAAAAAGTAACGAAAATTTATATACAGTTTCATATATCGCCGACTGATTATGGCTGTAATTTTTTTTATTACTAATTAAATATTCGACGAAATAAATTACACTATTTGATCACTTAAGTATTGTTACATTTCGTTTAAATCAAATAATTCAAAAACCAACTTGTTTACAATACTAAACTCCATAGCAGTAATAATATAGTTCACATTCTGAATTAAAACTCTTCTATAAACTATTAACTTTATACTTAACTTTATATTTATATCATGACTTCAAATCTAAGGTTTATATCTGTCGTAACAGTATTTTAAAAATGGGGAGAATTTACTATTGTACAATTCAGCACATTGGACCATTTAAATCGACACCTTAAAGCGAACTTAAAACAGTCGTATATTCGTGGAATGGAGTATATAACTCTTTTCTACGCAGATTTATGTATATGTAATGGTAATTAACCTTAAGTAATCAGTTACATGTAAATTACATAAACAGTCGTGGGGTCTGTGAGGCCCAGTTTTTATTTTATACAATGCATTACAAAAGATTAAAATAAAACTATTTGATGTATGTACAATCTTTTTTTACTTCATTTTTAATACATCTTAACTATTTTAAACCAACTGATAAAATAAACAACATTTTTAAGAAAATGCAAAAAAGTTAACAAAAATGTACGTCTCTTATATTTGATAGACAAAATTCTAATACTTTTTTTTTATTATAACTAATAAATTAAGAATAAGAATAAAACAATATCCCTTGGTTCTGGCGTGATGTAGTCCCCTCCAGTGAGAAAATCACGGGTCCATGTTACTTGTCTGTTAGCCAACGTCCCTTTAGTCTTCTGATAACTCGATGTTAACTCATAATACAAGGAAAGGTAGAAGGCCGACGATCACGAGGAAGATCCCCAACAAGATGGATAGATCAAATTACAGGAATATGCTAAAGACCTATGCATGAATTAAAAAAAATGACCAGAGACAGAGATCTCTGGAGACGGACAATACACGACATTACGTCGACCACTACACTCCCCCTGGGGGGTCAGGATTGAAGAGAGAGAACTCGATGTTGAGGTATTGCGGAAATTAATGGATTGGAGTGTGTGTACACTTTTTGAATGTATTGTAATTTCTTTTGTTGGTATACTTCTTTCACTGTTGAGATATTTTGATCCTCATAGATTCTTAGGTTGGTTACGTACCAGGGTGCATCAACAATTGCTCTTAAGGTTTTTGATTGACATCTTTTCATAATAGCAATATCAGATTTACTACAGCCCCACAGCTCTATGCCATATGTTCATATTGGTTTGATAACTGTTTTATAAATTAAAATTGTATTATTTATTGACAGCTTGGAGTTTTTTCCAATTAAACCAATTGATTTCTTTTTGTCTTAGTTGTATTTTTTGGTGATGTGTTCTTTCCAACACAGGGTTTGGTCCAGGTGTAGCTGCAGGTATTTGGTTGTTTTAGTTCTGGGTATTTCCTCATTGTTGATATATATATATTATATTATATATATATATATATATATATATATATACTATATATATATATATATATATATATTATATATATATATATATGTATATATATATATATATGTATATATATATATATATATATATATATATATATATATATATATATATATATATTGGTGGTGGTGTTTCTCGTCGTAAAGTGAAAGTTACGTGGGTTGACTTGTTTTCATTTATTTTTATTTTCCATTGTTTTAGCCAGTTTTTATGGTTAAACAAATAGTCTCGGAGTTGTTGTATAGCTATGTTAATGTGTTTGTGACTTGTAAGTGCTACTGTGTCATCTGCAAATGTGCCAATTGTTACGTTATGCTAAGTTGGTAGATCAGACGTATATAATAAAGGTCCCAGGACGCTGTCCTATGGAATTTCCGCTTTAATGGGATGCATTTTAGATATTTTTTCATTTACTTTTGCTCTAAATTGCCGGTTTTCTAAGTATGATGTAAGTATTCGAAAGAATGGTGGTAATATTTGTTTAATTTTATAAAGAAGTCCTTTATGCCAAACCTTATCAAAAGCTTGACCTACATCCAGTGATACCATTGGGCAATATTACTTTTCTTCTAATCCAAACTGAAAATTTAGTATCCAATCTGCACCTGTATGGTCTGGATCTATTCTTTTTAGTAAAAGTTTTTCTAGTAATTTGGAGATTTTTGATAACAGACTGATAGGTTGATAGGATCAGCTTTCACTTGGATCCTTTTCTGGTTTTGGAAATAAAAGTATTTCTGCAATTTTTAGATTGTTAGACCAATAATTACATCTTAATATTGCGTTATATAATATACCAGATCCATTAGCAAAACCGACCGCTACTGGAGGTGCATCTCTTACTGATTATTTAATCTCGTTATTAAGACCCATGTTTGTGTACAAACTTCTCAAACTTATTTTTTAATTCTTTTAGGCACCCAGTTTTTGAAAGACCTCAGATAGATTTCACGCAAGAGGAAACTATTCTGAAGAAACTCATTCCACAAATTCGAGAAGATATTCTAAACGAATCATTAGTTTATCAGGTGAACATGCCAACAGTTAGAGCACACGTCGAAAAACTTTTTAATGACACAGTCGAAGATCTCAAGCCAAAATTTCTAAACTGTGCTTTAATATCGATATATGCGTACAAGTATTTTAAACAGGACTACTCCGAAGAAGACCTTATCAAGGCTGGTATTTTGGGATGGTGCTATAAATTGGTAAAATTCATAAGTTTTTTTAAGTTTCAAATGTTTTAATAGAAATCTTTTTATTATTTAATCATTTTATATTTATCGAAGTCACTTTGGATCTACGTATAGTTGTTTATACTGTTTGTATTTTGAGAACGATTTCCGAAGTGGAAATTGAAACGTCAATAAACGTATTTTTATCTTTAATTGTGGCTTATTCCCAGTTAAATAGTAATTTACGTATAGTTGCTTGTACTCATTTTATCTACAAGAGTTACCCTTTTTGTTTTTAAATGAATGTATATTCTCCATCTATTCGCAGTACCGCTGATTGATTCCAATACAGATTAGCTATAATTTTTAAGTCTCTTCCATCAATCCCTGTCCTCTTCAGCACTTCCATCATTTGTTCATGCCTGACTCTATCGAAAGCCTTCTTGTAGTCAATCAGGCATGCAAAAACATTACAGCTGACATCTCTAAATTTCTGAAACAAGATCTGCACGCTAAATAAAGCTTCCCTCGTACCAACGGCGTTCACAAATCCAAACTGATTGGGCGTAATTTGTTTCCTCGCATTTCCGGTAAATTCTTTTGTGGATGACCTTTAAAAACAGCTTCAGCAGATGGCTCATTAGGCTTATTGTCCTATAATCTTCACAAACTTTTGCTTCTGGTTTTTTGGGCAATGGTACGAACTCCGATTTGAGCCACTCTACTGGTATTTTTCCTGCCTTGTATATTTCATTAAATATATCAGTTATTATTTTTATTTGTTCTGTATCTAATAGCTTCAGCAGTTCTGCAGGAATTTCATCAAGTCCCGGTGTCTTTCCATCCTTCATTTGTCTGACGGCTGCCGTTATTTCTTCTGGTAGGATTTCGGGATCTGAATTTTCTTCAACGGTGGGCTCTTGTACTGTTCTAAGATCATGGAAAAGTTTCCCCAAGTATTCTTCCCATACTTCCCATACAATGCGTTATTGTAGAAAAAATCAAGATTGATTTCCCAAATATTTTCGTTGAGACCTTTCCCTGTTGTAGTGGTTTTCAAATAACGGGAACTTTGAAATATTATTTTTGATTCTTTGTAGTCGATCTATAGGTATATTATTACCTGGCATATGTTTTCCCCTAAGGTCTGTAGTTACCAATCCAGATGCACTGGCCTTTTTTATGGCTGCTCTCATGAAAGTTTCTAAATAGAAAGTGTATTTAAGAAGAACATTTTGCAAATTACTTCTTTTTTTTATGTAACTTAAAAAAAAACGAATGACTTTTAGATTTTTTCTTTCTTGTCCCGTCTCTCTGACGTTGCCTATTAACTGTTTTGAGTATCAGTTTATTTCAGCATTCCAATATTCAGAGTGTCTTTTTAATCTGTCTTCTGTAAACCTTTAGTTACATTTTAGGCGAGACTTATCATAAAAAAGGGGTTTTATTGATATTTTTTTAACAACCATATTTTTTGTGTTTACATATTCCTTCCCAGCAGGTCTATTCTTCTTCCTTATTTATATTTTCATTTTTCTTCATGTCTTTAGGTCGAGCTTGGACTTACGTTTTACAGGTTTCAAGCAAAATCTCAGAGAAATAATGTAGTAAGTGGAGTTAAGTTTGTCTGGCTCTAATATGGGTAAGGACTTAAGCTCTAATTTGGCTAATTTGGAAAGTATAATTTTTAAAGAATTTAAGTTATTATGGCTCGATGTAGAATTAAATTTTACACACAAAACATCAAAACCAGAAAATCACAATTTTTGGACTTACGTTCGTCTGAGTTTGAGGTACAAAATTGATTTCTTTGTTCATAACGTCTTTTTTGAGTTAGTTCCAATAATAAATATTTAGGAAAGTCTGTTCGTGTTGAATATTGTTTTTATAATGCGTCTTCCTTCTTCTTCTTCTTCTACTTTTTGTAGATCTTTCGATCTGTTTAATTCTGAAGCTGCCTCTGGTTAATTTCTTGGGAGGTAGATTGCCAACTATCCCTCCATCTTTTAGGTGGTCTTCCGGGGGGTCTTGAACCGGGCGGAAAATGCGTCTTCGAAATAATGAAATAGCAGTTTTTGTAAGTTCAATAACAAAGTTTTGTTCTGAAGCTATTTTTTTGTGGCATTGTAAATTAATTACTATTAAACTGGGAATAAGCCACAATTAAAGATAAAAATACGTTTATTGACGTTTCAATTTCCACTTCGGAAATCGTTCTCAAAATACAAAGAGTAAATTAAACAAATTTTGTTTTTTGTTACATAGTGAAAAATTCTTCTAATAATTTAATTTTATCTGACTCATTTATATTGACAATTCAGACATACATTATGCATTTTAAAGTAGACGACTTTAAAATGATATTGCCAATATTGTTGAGATTGCGCTCCTGGGACGACTTTACTTATAAGATAGTTCATTCGATTACATGAAATCAACTTTAACTTGAGAATATCCGTCAGAAAAAAATCATAGCATGTAATTCGTCTTTAAAAAGACAAACGCATGACATGATGACAGTAAAATTCTCCTTAGTGATTCCATAGTAAATTATGAGGGAAAAACCAGGAAAAAAACCTCATAATACTATCCCGACATTGTAAGTATTTGTTTGTGAATTTAGTTTACCTTCAACAAACATCAAAATTCTGATTTTATATGTTACGTTATTTAAAAAACATAAATGATGTATCCTCTATATGTTACTGACTTACTAATACTATAATAATTGAACATAGGGTTCAATGGAACAATTCAAATGTAGTCCTAAAAGAAACGGATGGTAAAAAAAGAAAAATCAAAGAAGCGGCTCTAATTATGCTAAATGAGGCCAATTGTGTCGCAAATTCCTCGGCAGAATGTAGTAGGATCTGGTTACCAATATTGAAAGAGGAAGTTATTAATAAGAAAATACCAGTATTAGTAAGTCAGTAACATATAGAGGATACATCATTTATGTTTTTTAAATAACGTAACATATAAATCAGAATTTTGATGTTTGTGAAGGTAAACTAAATTCACAAACAAATACTTACAATGTCGGGAGTATTATGAGGTTTTTTTCCTGGTTTTTTCCCTCATAATTTACTATGGAATCACTAACAGGAGAATTTTACTGTCATCGTGTCATGTGTTTGTCTTTTTAAAGACGAATTACATGCTATGATTTTTTTCTGACGGATATTCTCAAGTTAAAGTTGATTTCATGTAATCGAATGAACTATCTTACAGAGCTGGGTCGGATACAGAAAAAAAGTATCCGGATACCGGATACGGATACTCAAAATGTATCCGGTATACTTTTTAAAAAAGTACGAATACTTTCACTTCAAAATGTATTCGGATACAAGTATCCGGATACTTTTTTCGGATACTTCTTAGGATACTTTTAAGGGATACTTTTAAAAGTGACCTAAATTGCTAGTGTGATAGAATTATGTGATGAGCATGTATTTTTATTGTATATAATAATAAAAAGAACGTGCATAAAATACTGGAAACAGAAATCAAAAAACACTCAAGAAATTGTTTATTACTTATGAATAATAAAACAAGAACATGATTAATCAAACCAGAAACATACTATAATATGTAAAGAAAAATTAAATAAAAATAAAAATCGTATTAATAAAGAAATTGCTGAAGATTTTTTCGCATATATTTACAGAAGTGCCTTTGAATTTTCCTTTGTAAGTACCAATTACCTCAAAGTGTTCATCGCTTAAAGCTTTTCTTTTAGGTGTATCAATCATAGTTGCAAAAGAGAAAAGTCTTTCAACTGGTGCTGACGAAGGTAAGCATGTGTTATATTTTGTTGACACCCTTTTTAAGGTTGGGTATTCATTTAGGATTTGTAAATTGGTTCTTTTGTCCTCCAAATATCGTAACAATTCTAACTGTATTTTTGAAGTTTTTATTATTTACGCTGGAACCCTGTTCCTGTTCATTATATGTAATAGTACAGCTATTGTCCACTTGCTGGTCTCGGAAATCGCTAAAATCAAAAAAGTCATCTAAATTTGATCTCCACTTTCGTCTGATTCATTGCAACTTTCCAACTCCATTTGTTTTTTTTGCAACAGTTATAATGCATTTTTTGATATCTTCTAAAGTTTTTTTGGGATTATGTACTACATTGTACCACTTTAGCTTAAATTTAGGAAGAAGAACTGCAGCTATAATTGGATCTTCCCATTCCAAATTTAAAATGTTAGCAAAACGAGTATTTAAGCTTTTAATGCACATTTTTGCTAGTGTTCTCCTCCATATTTCAATTTTGTTTGGGCAAGAAGTTTCTCATATTTATTAATTAATGAAATTAAGCTGGGTAACAAATATCCAAAAGATACATTCTCTTCACCTTGTAACAAATCTAACGTTAAAGCCAAAGGTTTCATAACTAAACAGTATTCCTCTAGGTATAATAGTTCAGTTTCCTTAAAAGGTTTCTAATGTTAGATTTTGTAGCAAAATTGGAAGTTTTTCTTTTGCTTGAAGAATCTGTGAAACTGCATCAAAAGTGGAGTTCCATCTAGTGGCCCCTGGAGAACTTAGAGTATGTTCCTAAAATTTTAATTATAACTTCATTGCTTTTTGGTTTATTCGATTTTTTCCATAAACTGAGCACATTTACTAAATGCATTCTTTTCTCTTATGCGGATTAGTTGGAATGTTCTATAACAGTATTTTTATAATCTGTTGTGGCTATTAAATTTTAAAGTATGTGTGGCACATCGCATATGCTTGGGTAGCTGTATATCCTGGTCTTCTAACTCTTTGCCTTCATCAACCTCTAAATGTAAAATTTGCAATTCATTTTCTTCTTCGTCAATTTCCTCATCGTCGTCCTCTTCATTTTTCTCGCCGAATACTTTAAAAGCTTTAACGAAATTGCTTACCGTTGTCTGTTACTGTCCCCACAATTTTATTTTCTGTTAAACCAAATTTTAAATTTATATCTTCTAGCATCTCAGCTATGCTTCTGTAGGAGAGTGAACACCTTTAAACCTAAAATAAACAATGGTTCTTAAATTTTTGTTTGTACATCGTCCATGTAGAATGTACAAGACTATGAATTTGTATAGTGGGATGGCCGAAAAAATAAAGGCTGTAAGATGTATTTTCGTTACAAAGAAAAATTTTAAAGAAGAAAATAGGGTAGGACCTTTAAAAATATTTAAAAATATAGAGTGTTGCACAGAAACGGTGGATAAGCAATATACATATTTTCAATTGAACCATCCTATATATTTTTACAATTTTGAATTTCCTGCATTATCTGATTTCGGCATTTTGTTTAAATATTTGGGTTTAGGAGGTATAGATATTTGAAAATCACAATTTAGCTGTTGTACCTGTTTTCACATGATAATTGTTGAAAACAGAAAATCGGCTGTCTTGTAAATATCTTTTTAAGTAAGTACTAGTCAATGCGATAAAATAAAAAAGGGTGATAAAAATCTATAATTTCGGACAATAAAACTATTATTAGTGCATTGAATAGTACTTCAAAAGGTAAGATAGGAACTTAAGCAACGATTTTCTTTATTTTTAATTTATTGCTTCCATGCAAAAAGGTGCTAGGTCCTAAATCTAACAAATAAAATATATTGCTGAAATCGGAAATCAGATCATTGACGAAACTTTACAAATGTATAAAGTTTTCCGATTGAAAATGTATCTTCGCTTTGCCTTATTTCTATAATTCTTTACAACATGAACATACTGTATATTTAAAAATAGTTGTAAGTTTAATAATTGTATAAATTAAGTGTTTCATCTCTTTTCATAAAATCATTCCTTTTTGGATTTTGGCTACCCCGTAGAATGATTAAATACTTAATATTTGAGATTAGGTAGATCGTAGCGTTTTAACCAAAGAAATATCGAAAAATTACAATTATAATTTATTCACCTTCTACAGGCAAGTGCAGCTGATTTGCGGATAAAGTCCTCATCTAACCAGTGAACTGTAACTCCTAAGAAGCTTCTTTTTTTATTTGACCATATGTCAGCTGTAGTGCATACGTAATTAACACCCCTAATTTTATCTTTAATAATTTGCATATTTTCATCGTGCGAATCTATAATTCGTTTCATTACTGTCTTTCTTGTTGGTATTTTCAAATTTAATCCTTGGAAGATATCCTTAAAACTTTGGTGTTCTATTATAGATATTGCACTCATTGTGCTCACAACAAAATTTATTATTCTTTTTTCAAACAGAGATTGGCTTAAAACTGATTTGCTTCCCTCTTTGGCCATTCCAAAAATGTTTGGTTGAATAAGCTTAGCTTGTTTGGGTTCTCGACTTTCGAAATCTTGAGTTGCATTAAGTCTTTTTCTGGTCAAATCTTTCTTTGAAATTTTATACTTATTATACTCGTCAATTTTATTAGGATGAATCCTTTTTAAGTGTTTAAAAAAATTTGAAGAAGAACCTTTTATCCCTTTTATGGTTTTCTTCTGTGGAAGGCAGAGTTGACAATCAGCTGTAATGTTTTCGCCGTCGTTTTCTTTTATTTTAAAGTACTTTTCCATCTAGTATGGAGGAACTACAAGCAAATTGCGAACTTTGTGGATCATCAGATTTTTCTCCCATGTTTTTAACAAGTCTTGTTAGAGGTTCGGATATCATACAAACTTGGTTTGGTTCATAGTTTGAAGAAATTCATAAGAGAATTTGTCTGAGATTTTCGAGGTATACTTTGGGCAGAATCGGAATCTGAGGTCTAGGTGATAATCGGGATCATCTGAACTTGTAGCAAATGGATCTTCTGGAGTGTCATCACTTTGTTCTGGATTGGAACTGGTAGATGCAACTGCAGGATCAATTGAATTCATGTTGCTCTATCTGGAATTAAAAAAGCTTGTCTAACTTACCCCCTCATACTATCATTTTTTAAACGAAATGAGCTCTCCTATCGAAATTCGACAAAGCTAGTTTGAAAATATTTTAAGAATATCACAATTTGTCATGGCACACGAATTAAAATGAATGGTCTGAAAGGACATGGTATACAAATTTTAAACGTAACTCCATCGAAATTTTGTTATTAAATGATAAAAAAACAAAATACGGCATAAACATTATTGTTGTAGTTATTTAGTTGTATGAAATAGACGTTAGACGGGACTAAAAAATTGTGAAATTCTGTGTGTTTTAATGTAATTTAGTTTTTTGTTTTCTTCAAATTCAAACACCACGCTGTCATTTAAAAACTTTACAAAACATCTTCATGTATATGTCTATGATGCCTATGCTAATAGAAAAAAATTAAATTTGCAAAAATTTGCAATTTTGACACCCTGTATCTCAATAAGTAATCATAATCATTTGCTCAATAATAATGATCGCGTAGTCTTTTTTAACAAATAATTATAACTTTTTTACTTACTATCCGATATATATTTAATAACTAATGCATTCTTCAAATTCAAACACCACGCTGTCATTTAAAAACTTAACAAAACATCGTCAAGTATGTCTATGCCTATGCTACTAGAAAAAATTTAAATTTGCAATTTTTGACTCCCTGTATCTCAATAAGTAATCATAATCATTTGCTAAATAAGAATTATTTACTCCGGTTTCGTAGTAACGCTGCGTGATCACGTAGTCTTCTAACAAATAATTATAACTTTTTTTACTTACCATCAGATAGATATTAGATAGATACCTATTTATTTAATAACTAATGCATTTTTTCTTTTTTATTTCTAGAAATCTACTAATATTAGACTACTATTAATAATAAAACGCCAGTAAACTTTAGATATCTACTAATTAAATCGAAAATTAAATGCAACTTACCTTTAGAAAATTCTGTTATTCCGAATAGAAAAAACTATACGCATATAAACGCACTACACCTTTTACACAAATGAGCAATGGACTACTGAAATAATGAAAAACTTTTTCTATCATATCACCGTGTCTGTACTCGGTAGACAAGAATTTGCAGGATTTTTCCTGTAAAAACGAAACGTGTCACTGTCTTGAGCTTTCGATATTGAATTTCGCCAGCGTCGAATCAGCTGAGTTTTTAACTTTTAAACTTTAGGGGAAATAGGGACACACTAAACCAAAATTATAAATATTAAGAATGACTTTATTCTAATCCGAAAAAATACTTTATTCTAATTATACAGGGTTCTTCAAATTCTTCTAATTATACAGGGCTCTTGAAGATTTTTAACTGATTAGGTAAAAACAAAGCTCTATTGGCTATAATAATATATTATAACGATCACGATCACGAGTATGGAAAATGGGATTTATCATACTTCTCACTCAACGATCATACTATGTACACCTGGATTGAAGATAGGGCAGTGTGGTGCGTAAAGTAGTTCCATTATCGTCGAACATTAAAAATTTAAAAGCATCCGGACATCAAAAAAAGTATCCGGATACCGGATACTTTCAAATTTGGTCACGGATACGGATACCGGATACAAAATTTAAAAATTATCCGGATACAGCCTTCGGATACACAAAAAGTATCCGGATACTGTATCCGGAGACAGAAGTATCCGGATACTACCCAGCTCTGCTATCTTATAAGTAAAGTCGTCCCAGGAGCGCAACTCAACAATATTGGCAATATCATTTTAAAGTCGTCTACTTTAAAATGCATAATGTATGTCTGAATTGTCAATATAAATGAGTCAGATAAATTTAATTATTAGAAGAATTTTTCACTATGTAACAAAAAACAAAATTTGTTTAATTTACTGTTTGTTTTTGAGAACGATTTCCGAAGTGGAAATTAAAACGTCAATAAACGTATTTTTATCTTTAATTGTGGCTTATTCCCAGTTTAATAGTAATTAATAACAAAGTTGTTGTTTGCACATTGTTTTTTTTTTTATTTTTAAACTTCATACATTGAAACAGAAGGTGTAATCTCAAATACCGCTTTTTATTCGTTGTTTTGCACGCAAGTGTATATACATTGTTCTCAATACTAAGTGTATTATTGCTAATTATAGGTTCAATTATTTTTAGCAAGATTTAGCTATGATCATCGTCGATGACATACTGGATGAATCAAAAATTCGTTACAATAAACCACCCTTGTATAGGGTAGTGGGAATAAAACAAGCTATCCTAGACTCAATAACATTAGAAACAGGCGCTAGCTTTCTATGTTTAAAATATTTTTCTGAGCACAAGCATTTTGCTAAAATCCATAAGGAGATGGTACTCAACCTAGCAACCACTACAATTTCACAGACGCAAGAGCTATCAAAGTATAATATAGAAGATTTCGAAGTTTTTGAAAATTTAGTTAAATCTTTTCCGCTATTTGTACATGCTGTTGCATCTGTGGTGTACTTGGCTGGTATTGATGATCCCAAGCTTCAATCTATAGTGAAAAAAATTTGTATGGATATTGCTATATTTGGAAAAAGATTCGTAAGTATATCATAATACAAAGTCTTATATATCTATTTGTCAGCTCTCGTTCTTGCTGCATTGTTCAATCCTTTTTACGAACAATGCCAGACAGAATTGCCCCGGTTGTAAAGGTACATGGCAATGTAAATTCATATTAAATTAGTAATTTCTTGAATTTTCCGAACATTTAGTTGTCACGATGTTATGCAACATTTTCGTTTATTTTGCCACCAACGCTGCAATTCAAAGTTTATGAAGACCAAGCCATTTCGATATTTTGTTATTAATGATAGAGTTTAATATATTAACGCGTTTTCTTCTAGCGTAACCGTATGGTCACACTAAATGGCCCCTTTTAAATATAAAACATTTAACACATACACCGATATATGCAACTAGTAATACGACCACGCGGACTAGAGATATCTATGTAACGAATGACATACCCGGTACCTGATCTATTCACCGGTAAAGTCGTGTTATAGTTATTGGTGTTACAACGAGAAAGCATCAAAATGGACGTTCGCTTTGTGTAAGTAATATTTTTTAATCTTATTTTTAAAGAAACCAAAAATATTTTTGAACAAATAGGATCTAGAGACATGTGTTTAAGACATATTTATATAATTTATCAGAAAAAGTATTGTATCAAATGCGGTAGAGCTTCTAATATTTGTTTGTGACCATAACGTCACACAGGGATAATATGTGATAATTAATAGGTTTTCTGTTTTTTCTTTTTAGACGTGGTTTTACATTACAAGAAGCATTCACCATGTTATATGATGACGAAAATATAGAAAATAATGAAACATTGGTGTTTATTTCTCCTCCAGATGTTCATGAAGATACGGATGAAGATTCCGGCGACGAAGACGATGGTGGTTTAGTTGACAATTTGTCTCATAGACAGTTATTAGCGCCAGCTGAAGTTCGAATAAATCGTATCGAAAATATGGAACAAGGAGAGGAAGACTCTGTGGATAAAATAAAGACAACAGAACCTGATGAACAGGTGAGTCAAATAAACAAGGGAAAAAATAAAAATTTACAATTTTTAAAAAAGCTGAGATCAAGCAATGGATAGAGGGAGATTTGATACATAATAAAAAATTTAAAAACGGGAATAAATCTGAAAGTTATAAATTTTATGAAATGAGTCCATTAGAACTATTCGAACTATTTTTTGACAACGATATGTTTGAGCATATTTTACAAGAAACAAAAAAATATGCTGCGTTCAAGAATTTTCCAGATCCAAATCTCTCTATTGATGAATTAAAATGTTTCTTTGAAATTTTAATTTTATCCGGCTACCATCCCTTACCAGGCAGAACATATTATTGGGATTAACAGGATGACATGGCAGTACACATGGTGAAAAAATTGTATGCGCAGGAATAGATTTGATCAAATCATGAACTCTATACATTTTGCCGATAACAGCAGAGTTGAAAGGACTGATAAAATGTGGGAGCTACGCCCCATTATAGAAAAAGTGCAAATGAAAGGTCTTAAGCACTTTCAACCAATCCAGCACATGAATTATGATGAATCAATGATCAAGTATTTTGGGAAACACAGCTGTAACAGTTTATCAAAGGAAAGCCAATACACTTTGGCTATAAAGCTTGGTGTTTGAATTCTGAAGACAGTCTTTTGATTCATTTTCAGTTATATTAAGGTAAACAGATTTCAACTGATAACAGTTAAGTAGAAAAATTTGGAAGTGCAACAGCTCCTTTACTTTAAATGCTTAACGATCTACCAAAGAATATGCCAAATTACCATATTTATACTGATAATCTATTTACGATACGTGCAGAATTAAAACTAAGGGTACTGTAAAAACTGTACTGGAACAATAAGACAAAATAGTTGTCCTTTTCCGGACAACAAAGTAATGGCTACTAAAATTAGAGGTTCTGTTGATTATGTTATATCTAAAAATTACGGAATTATCTTGATCAAGTAGATGGATAATGCTGTAGTTACGGCTGCATCAACTTGCTACGGCACCAATCCTCAGTTATGTCAAGAGATACTCTAAGCAACAGAAATAAATTATTCGAGTAGAAAGGCCTTTGATTATTGCAAAATATAATACATTTATGGGTGGCACGGATAGAATGGATGAAGATGTGGCATGATACAGAATTGGCATCAGAAATAAAAAGTGGTATTGGCCTCTTTTTACTTAGCTTGTTGACGTATGCCTACATAACGCCTGGGTGCTTTATAATAGGTCCTCAAAGAAAAGAAAAAAAAAAACACCTAATTAGTTTTCCGCCGAGAAATTGAACAGATGTATTTGCGGAAATATGGAGTACCGCCAAAACGTCCTGGTAAGCCTTCAGTCAGCAGGAATAGTCTGTCCATGAATAGAGTGTCCGACAATCTACGATATGACAACATTGACCATCTTGTTCCAGTTCCTAACGGCAAAAGACGTAGGTGTGCAGGAGAAGGATATTCTTCTGTGATACGTACACAGTGTAAAGAATATAATTTAAGACTTTGCATTAAGTGTTTTGAAATTTTTTATACACAGTAGTAAATACGTAATGTATATATAGGTAACCTCCCTTTGTGACCATATGGTCACAGCGTTTTTTTCTTACGTTTATAAAAAAAATTAATAAAAACATATTTTTACGTTTATTTAGTTTCATTCCATTGTCATCTACAGTTATATTCATGAAAAAATATATTTATTGATACTCTGATAGAAAATGGGTTAATGATCTCGTTTTTTGGTTCAATAAGAAAGATCGTGAAGATGAATATTTTCAATAAATTTACGTTTTTCCGAGCACTTAGCTGTTCGGGCTCGTATATTGAACAAAACTTCTCTCGTACCCAAACTACTACTAACTTCGAATTAAGTAATGCTAATTGGGTTCTTGATAAGATTCATATCCGGAGTCAATGGAGATCAGTCCGTTGTTGTTATGTCGGTATTAACCAGGTAATGTTTTGTAATCCGCGCTGTGTAACAAGCGTTATTATTCATTAGCCGTTGCTTATGTAGCCGGCGTAAAGAATAACATGGTCTTGAAGAATATCCGTAATATAACGATCCGTTATCAAAATCCCTCCGCGACCTTCACTGGGCATAAACACAAGCTCTATTTTTTCTTGTAATGATATGTCATCCTAAAACATACATAAACCACCTCCATAACTCACTGTTTTAACACTGCAGCATTGAGTACATCATTCTCCCGGCCTCCGATAGATGCGTCCATAACACGATAATACATTCGATTCTCATCAGAGAATAAAACTCTGCTTTATTGGTCAAGGTCCCAATTGACGTGTTCTCGGACAAAATGTCGAGCTTGTTTCTGACGTGCGTTTAATTTGGGCCCTATGTTAGCTCATGATTCGAGTAATTGACGTATGAGCAATCTCCCACTTACTGACCAACGGTTTAGGGCGGATGAGTTGGTGAGTGGTAGGGCATTCTTCTATCCTGGGGTTGAGAAATCGGCCCCGAAGGCGGATGAATTAACAAATAATGGTCAACGGCATAAGAATGCAGAAGGCAAAGGGGAACCACTGCATTAACGGCTCATAGAGTACTCCTAGGAAAATCACCATAGAATCGACACTGCAACTGCAAACCGTTACTAATCATGGAAAACCTCGTGAAAAAATCCTTAAAAAAAATCTAATTTTAGAATGTGCACATGAAATGTTAGAAGTCTATTTGTGGCTGGGAAACTTGAAAACGCAATTCATAAAATGCAAAGATTAAAAATAGACCTACTGTGAATCAGCGAAGTGAGAGGGTCAGAGTTAGGATCATATAAAAACGACAGAAGTGTATTATATTATTCTGGTAAGCAGAGAAGACCCACATCACAAAAATTGTGTAGGTATATTAGTAACATCAGAACTGAGTAAATATGTGACCAATTTCGTACCAGTCTCGGATAGAATAATATTACTCCAAATAAATACTCAGACATTTAAAACAAACATACTTCAAATTTATGCCCCGACTGCAGATAGAAAATATGACGATGAAATCGAGAAGTTGTATGATCAGATTCAAGACATCATACATAAACTTAATAAACACGAAATTTTATATATTATAAGCGACTTCAATGCAAAAATTGGAGAAGCTCGACGAGATCAGACTGTAGGTCCTTATCGTCTAGGACAACCTAACGATCGAGGATGGACATTATATGAATTTTGTAAAGAAAATGATATGATCATTGCAAACACCTGGTTTAAACCCCAAGAGAGGACTATACACTTGAAAAGCCCCATTTGATGAAGGCAATAACCCTGAGCCCTCAAGAAATCAAATAGACTATATACTTGTAAATGAGCGTTTCCGAAATGAACTTAAAAAGTCACTATATTATCTGGGCAGATACTGAATCTAATCATCAACCACTTGTAGAAGATATTAAACTAAGGTTAAAACAAATTCAGCGACCAAAATCAAAAACCAATGTACTTAACTTTGACAATATAAACATAAAACATAATATTAAAAAAAATTTCTAACAGACATTACCTCTCACTTGAACACATTAAACCAACAACTCCAGGGGAAAAATACACAGTATACATAGAAAAACACAGTATCACAGTTGGTTGGCTAAATTGATACATTTCGCAAAAAAATTTTTTGCTCGCAAGTGTAGAATAATTTTCAGTTACTTTGACGTATATTTTTTTTATATGTATGCTTGTCAGTTTTATAATATCCTTTTTATTTCAGGATGATTTTACTGTATTTCTAGACCCGTCAACTATTGGGGAGAAGGACAACACAGACATAGCTAATTTTAAAATAACATGGATGGCTATTCAGGTGTCTAAAATGGGAAGCCCCCAACAAAAAAATACGTTCATGGAACACTACGGTAGCACAGATCCTAAATCAATTTCGATCATTTTTGATATATACCAAGAACTTAATTTAGTTGAACATTTCGACAGATATATGATGAAATTTTACGACGACATGCAGACTCAAATCCATAACTTGCCTCCTCAATTACCCAAACAGTTTTTCTATAATATATTAGATTGTGCTGTAGCAAATAAGATGTATGCTTAATAAATTTAAACCACGTTTTTTTTAAAAAAAACTATTTATTTATTATCATCATCATAATTAGCTAGACAATCCTTTGAGGGCCTTATACTACAACAATTTTTAATTGAAGGTGATTATTTGGCAACATCGCCCTTAAAGCGACGTAATCATATTCCACTTATCAACGTTGCAGGGGCGTACCAAAGTAATAGTTTAATTATTTATTTAAACACACTAAAAGTTTATTGTTATTATAGAGAACCTAATACAGTACTTCAAAAAACAGAAACCTTTGCAAAATACTTATTTTTTCATTAGATATGTAACTGCAATCGGATATTGCAGGTACAGATTAAATACAAGTAATTGGGAATTTTGACGATTCTGATTATGGTTCAAATAAAACGTCCAAAGAAAAAATCAGGCAAAAATAGTAAATCCAAATTTGTCACAAATTGGGTAAAAACAGATACTCCTTCGTACTCAGTAGTAATTCAACATCAGTCTGATTGATATTTAGACAATACAGTGCGTTAAGTTTTGGATTAGGTATTCACTCTATAAATGGCAACACTGCGCGTCGTCGACTTGCCACTACATATCTGCTTCGTTGACTCGTCGTTGCTCGTCGCCCGTCGGCAAATTTGTCATATTGTCATTATACCGTGGTTGTTTAAAGGTATAACAGCGTAGAGTTTTAATTTATTTTTGTAAACATGTCTGTTTATATGGCGGGAAAAGCTCAAATAATAAAATGGTTTTATAGTGGCAATTCTGCGCAACAGTGTGTAGATTTATTTTCTGTGTTTTTTGAGGGAAGACCAATTCCTTGTGTACAGTCAATTTATAATATTGTTAAAAATTTTGAGAGTTATTTCCTCAAAAATTGCAGAAAATGTCACGCTCAAGAAGTGTTACCAGAAAAAGTTGAGGAAAGAGAATACCGGGATACACAAATTTGTGCAACAATCGAGGTAGATTCAATACGTTCAAGTAGAAGCGTTGCTAGAGATTTAGATGTTAGCAATGTTACTGTAACGAAAGTATGGAAAAAGCACGGTTACAAGAATTTTAAATATTCGAAAACGCAGCAGATTTACCCAGACGATTACTTTCGAAGAATGGAGTCTTGTGAAACTCTAATAACGAAGGCTAATAGTGAACTAAATTTTATTAAAAACATTTTATTCACTGATGAATCTTCTGTTTCGTTAGTAGGGAGACATAATCCTTCCATTACGAGATATTGGGCGCGGGAAAACCAGCACAGAAGTGTTGTTTACCGAACTCAACGTTCTAAAAAAGTTAACGTCTGGACTGGCATTTTAGGAGACCACATAATAGGTCCATTTTTTATTGAGGGCAACTTGAATAGTAGAGTATACCTCGATTTGTTACAGAATCATGTTCTTCCCGCCATTCTCAATCTTTCTGATGTAAATCTGGAGAATGTTTGGTTTCATCAAGACGGCTGTTCAGTTCACAACGCTCGAATAGGGAGTATTTAAACAATACTACGAATCGAGTTATCAGTGGAACAGGCGATATTAAGTGGCCTGCGCGATCTCCAGATCTTACACTCATGGACTTCTTTTTTGGGGACATTTAAAAGCATTATCTACTATCATCCTGAGGCTAGAGCCCAAAATTTGAATGAATTAAAAAACCGAATAAGAGATGTCTCCAATTCTGTTACAGCAGAAACTCTTTCATCTGTTCGCAGAAGTTTTTATGACAGATTGGGGTACTGTTCAGCCGTAGAAGGTCAACTATTTGAACCATTTCTGTAGGTCATAAAGAATTATTTTTTATTTTATTAGGAATAATATTTTAATTTTCAATAAGAGTATATTTTTTATTTTATCTTTTTAAAGAAATACGCTTTTATTTTTAATTCAACCACAAAAAAATTTTCACATTAATAAGAATCGATAACAATGCACCGATTACGTCAGTGCATTTTTATCGAATTTCCTACTATTAAAATCGGCTATACGTAATGAAACATGAGATCGGACGAGAGAGAAGTACATCCCAAACGTTGTTGTGAGTTACTAAACTAAAATGATTTTCTGTCGGTGCAGATAGTCTCGGGTTGGAGAACGAACATTTGCAACGTTGCCGATTTTAGCGCTCCGTATATTGTGCAATACCTAATCAAAAACTTAACGCACTGTATAAAAGCCAACCATGGAGGCAAGTTTATATTGAAGTTTTTTTCACTCTTTTTTGATAAACAAGTAATTAAGAGCATGCTATATTTTATAAATATTTTATTTTTATATGCATCGCAGAATAACCGCCAAGATTTTGAAATGAATGACATAGATTTAAAAAATTTATTGGAGTATGTATATTATCTGGTTCACACTCTGAAGATTGTAACGGCTATTTTGCCTACCTCAGGGTAAGGACATGGGGTAGAAGATTGGGCAAACAAAATAAATCGAAACAAGTGCATACGGCACTAAGTTGGTTGTTGGAGAGCCAGGTCATGGATAAGTTGAAGATATGGGGTTTGGATTGGGGCAACTACAAAAAAAAAAAGAAATAAAGGGGTACTTATACAAATCTCTTGGGACAAACAGAATGAAAATAAACCGGAAATACCTCAAGAAATTTAATATAGGGCGCCACTTGAGGTGCCTAATTATACCTATTACAACCACTAGTTTTAATAATAAAAAAAAATCTTTTTCAAATAAAACTCAAAATAGCTCAGAAAAACAAATTAAACGTTTATTTTTGTCTCAAACAAACAGTTATCAAAAATGCAGATTTTACAAGAACATATTATACAACATAATCCAAATTAATAAAAACTTAACATGTTCTTCGTTTACATAAGAGATTGCTACAAAAATACAAAAATAAATGGTTTCTAGGTTATAATATGGCCGATTTAGATTATCAAAATTTTATGGATATCCTTTTTATAAAAAATATTATTGAATTTAATCTTACATAATATGAAATATCTTTTATATAAAATAATTAAATTAAAATTGTCTTATAACAAAAATGGATTAAAGCAAAATGTCATGTGTCAACATAACAACTTGAGACAGATTAAATTATGACATTTTTATCTAAGACAACATAATATAAAACTTTAATTATTACAAATTCTTTTATATTAATGAAAGCAATTATTAATAATGTCCATATAACTTGAAAAAATTAATATATTAAAAGTTACCTTAATCTTTTTTATAATCACTTACCTTTGAAATTCGTTACATCTCTGAAAGCTTACTTGAACAAAACTCTCAAACTGGAAAATATGAAAACATCAGAACCCTTTCCATTCTCCGGGACGAAACGATCGTTTTTAATTACTTAAATTAGTAGTCCCCCAAGAAGGTCGCTGATAGGACTGAAATGTCCGGTAATTAGGTGCTTGTGGTCGGTAATAGCAACAAAATCGGTCGGTGATAAGTAAGTATATTTCAAGCCGGTCGGTAAAGGGAACATTTTAATGAAATTGTACATAATTAATGAAATATTTAATAAAAAGAACCTAACTTGTATATTATTTTTTCTATATTACTAGCTGAATCGGAAAGATTAAAACTTATCTTTAAAAATTATGCAAAGAAAAATAAATATGTACCTATTCTTCTTATTATTGAATATGTTTATAAGAAAAAACTTAGTGGTCAGTAAAAGGTACTTTTACCTTATACAGTTTGGGCCTGTTGCATTTTGTAGACTTATTGTTTGTTCAATATATTGACGTCTGCTGTTGTTTTACAGTTTGAGTTACATTATTTGATCTTATATACTAGGATGTTTGAGTTATGACAAGAAATGATACGTTGCCATGTTATCAATTCCTATTGTAACTTAAAAATCCTAGTAAGTATATAAGATCAAATAATGTAAGTCAAATTCAATTTAACAACATTTAACGGGTTTTTAGTCAAGTATTTGAGTACACAAAAAGATTAAAGAAATGACAGGAAGGAGAAGAATAACACAGACAGGACAGATCAAAGATAAAGACGGTATAATTATAACAGATTTACAACAAAAAATGAACCGATGGACAGAATACATATCACAACTGTTTGATGACAAAGATAGACAAGAAATCTCAAACGAATATACAGATGATACAGGGCCTGATATAATCAGAGAAGAAATAGAATATGCAATCAAACAAGCAAAAAGTGGTAAGGCCCCCGGTCCTGATGAAATTCCCGTAGAACTGCTTAAACTAACGGACGATGAATCTATTAAAATACTCCTAAATCTATTTAACAAAACATATAGAACTGGAATAATACCTAGGGAATGACTCCGTTCGACCTTTATACTACTGCCAAAAAAGGCAAATACAAAGGAATGCAACGAATATCGTACGATAGCTTTGATGAGTCATGCTCTAAAAACTGTTCTTAAAAATAATACATAATATATTATCCATAGGAAATTAGACGTAGACATCAGTAACACTCAGATAGGATTCAGGAAAGGGCTGGGTACAAGAAAGGCTCTGTTTGCAATGAACGTTCCCTCACAGAGCTTAAACATGAACCAAGAAATTTACGCCTGCTTTATTGATTTCGAAAAGGCCTTTGACAAAGTACAACATGAACCACTAAGACAAGTTCTAATAAAGAAAAATATAGACAGCCCAGATATTCGAATTATATGCAATCTATATTGGAATCAAACAGCAAATGTCAAGGTTGAGGGCAGACTAACAGAAGAAATTCAAATCCGTCGAGGAGTCCGGCAGGGATGTATCTTATCGTAACATTTATTTAATCTGTATAGTGAAGCTATCTGTGAACAAGCACTCGAGGAAGAAGAGCTTGGTCTGATAATAAATGGTGAGACGATCAACAATATAAGGTATGCTGACGATACAGTTCTCCTAACGGGAACGCTAGTAGAACTACAACATCTCGTTCAAAGTCTCAATATATACTGTAACAGTTACGGCTTGAAAATTAATTTGAAAAAAACTAAATTTATGGTAATCACGAAATCAAAAAACATTAGAGCTAATCTTG